AATCCATGAAACCTCTCTCCCAGCTTGGCTTTGTTGGAACCTTTGGATGGCACGGAACCACAAAGTCTTCTTTAACACCGTATTCTCCGAGCTGTAATTTGTTACTAAGGGGATCTCAGATGCCAGAGCATGGCAGGAAGCGCAAAAGAGGAAACCCGCGACGACCCATAATCAACTCAACCCACCTCCGGCATATGAGCAGGCAAATATCCGCTGCTATGTTGATGCAGCTTGGCAAGCTGAGTCTTTATCATGCGGCATGGGAATGGTGTTCGAGTACAGCAACGGAAATCATACCTCAAGCTTCTCTAGTTCGCGACACCATGTCTCCTCAGCCCTCGCAGCAGAGGCATGGGCCATTCGAGAAGCTCTCCTTCTGGCGTTAGACCGGGGATGCGAAGATATTTAAGAGCTATCAGATTGTTTGGCTTTGGTGAATACTCTTCGATCTCATGAGTCTCTAAACGAGGTTTACGCTATTGTATCCGATATTCGTCAGCTGACGATATCCTTTTCTTCTATTTCCTTTGTTTACATCCTCCAGACTCTTAATACCGCAGCGGATTTCATTGCAAAAGAAGCTCTCCGAGCTATCTTAATTGATGTACCTTGAGTTTAATGAAGTTTAAAGTTTGACCAAAAAAAAAAAAGACACGTGTGGTATACTGATGTGGTGGTAAACGGATAACAAGTTCTACCCCTAAACACAATTGCAAGTGCACAATATTCACGGTAGTATATTAAAGGATCAAATCTAAAGAGACTTATGTACTTAAGAATTCGAAAATCTAATTTTGCATCTAAACTTATCAAAATTCAGAGTGAGCATCATAGCTTGTAGACAAATTAAACGAAAATATGCAAGTAAATAACGGTCTGAAAATCAGAAAATCAGAGAATTCTCCGGGGTTCATGGATCAAATCAAATAAGCATTAGTTAGGAATTAAAGCGACTTTATCGACTAGGAATTCAAGTAATTATCTTGAACATGAAATAATATCAAATCTTCTCTCATAGTACTTTATACCTAAATCTATACAACTTAGTAACTTGACTCTCGTTGGTAACTACGCAGATAAATCAAAAATAAATCCAAGTTCATCAATGTTCTCAAAATCCCTATAAGTATGCCTTCATATCTTATAATGTAATTGCTTGCCTATTCTAGTTCAAGTTAATAAATTCAGCACGAAAGTGGTTTTATTTTCCTTAGATCAGCGATAGGTGATCAATAAAGCAACATGCATTAACAAATATGAATCAAACAAAGAATCTACTCAATGATCTTAAGTCTAAAACCCTACTAAGATAAATCCATGATCCTGGAAGCATTTATACTTCATCTTCGCGGCAGCGGAATCTGTCCTTTGTGAAACGAGCATATCTGGAGATCTAGCCATTGAGATTCCTTTAAACCACTTTGTCATGAAGCGTAGTTCAATTCTATTTATTGTGTCTAATAATGAGGTAAATGGGTTGTGTAGAAGGTCTCCATCAAACACATAACTTGTGAAAGTCAGAATCTCGCTAACAGCTACTTTTACTCTAAAAGGTGCTTTGTTTGCCAAAATTACTGGAATAGACATTTGAAACTTGAAAACATTGAAATAACTTATAAAACATTAGAAACCGAGTTAAAAAAACATGCAGAAGGTCTTAAAATCATGTTCAAAAAGGTGTAAAACCGTGATATATCATATACTATGCAATCCAAAATTATACAAGTACTGTTGTTCCCTTGGGATCCCCTCCCCCCTCTATTTATCACTCTTCTCCATGCTGGTGCTTCATCATCTCACTCGTTGCAAATCAAATTGATCAGCCCCATTGCTTTTGATGTTAGATGTCTAACTTTTGCTGTATATCGTTTCCAAGACTTAGAGCCGTGAGGAAAAACGGCTGATTCCCCTATCAACCAAGTGATTATTAATACACGACATATGAATGAATGCCATTAATTGCATGGGAAAATGACCTCTTGTGTAATAAAAATTCAAGAGATAAATAAAACAAAGCATGAAAGTAGGAAAAGAAACTAC